CACACACACACACACACACACACACACACACACACACAGACACACACGCACATACGCAAATTATATGGCTGAAATCATGTATGTCGGCGCCCCAAATTAGAAGCACATCGCAACAGCGCGTGCAAGCAGTTTATAAATTTAGCAGGTTTTTATAGGACTTAAAGAGAAATATCTCCATGAATAGAATAGAATCATTTATTTCATAATTATTATCAATTTCATACTATACAATTTGAAATATAATGTCAAGGGATAATTTTAATGTAAATGTAAAAATTATGCAAAGTTACTCAGTTTTAGACTGTTATTTGACCCTGTTTTTGGGATTTTATATGATCGGGTAAAGTACATTCTATCGTGTAACAAACTAGCAGTATTCGTTAGACAATATCCTCAGGTGTATCGTATGTTATAGAAAGACCGTCATTTAATACTAAGTACCTAAACCTTTGATCTAGAAAAACACTTTTCCTGCTTTTCGTCCGATGACCTAAATAAGTATTAATTTGTTAACATTACTCGAAGAGACTCAGCTTTTAATTGTCTATTGCAGATATCTATATGAGTGGTGTACCAGAGATAAAACAATGGAATTACAAAGTGATAGATAAAATCGACGTGATATGCAGCGGGATCTTAAAATACAACGCACCACGAGTACTGAAGTTGGGGTGTCACACAAATATTCCAAACCTCTATTCTATAGACTTCATTTTTAGAAGAATTAATGGTAAATAAATTAACAAATAAATATGCGACGTGTCACTGCCGGCAGAGATTTTTGTTACGAAACCCGCCTGGGTGGTTTTCAGCCTGCATTTCCGGTTGTCAGGAAAAAAATCGAGGCTCGATACTGTTTCGAAAATTCAGGGAAATTTGAGACTTTCGCGACTATTTCTAAAGCAGTTTTCCATACTTATAGGCAATTTATAAAATATAAATTTATTGAAAGTTTTGCGTCATCATTATAGCATCACGGAGCGTTTAATGTAGCTCCAAATACAGAAGACCTGATTTTTCCACATAATAATGTATCCAGAAAAAAAAAGACTGTTGGTTCAGTGAGTTTTTTAAATAACGTTTAGCTATAGGCCTACCTCTTAACTGGGTCGGTTCCTGAGGTAGCTGCGGGGTGCGGGAGGGGTGACGGATTACGTGACATATTCAATAACAAGTTGATTGAAATAACTGCCTACCAAATTGGTCAATTCTTCTTACGTGAAACGATAGTAAAAAGACTATTCCATTGATAATAATTGAAATGAATAGATGAGCCATTGTGCATATTTTTCAATCAAGTTGTTATTCAATATTTATTTATTTGTTCATGGAAAACCAACAGCTTCTTACATTTAATAAAAACAATATTGTCAGAAAAATCTTGTTCCAATTATCCCGTGTGCAGTCACCTCCCGCATCCCGCAGCTACCTCAAGAACTGACTCAGTTTAGTGGTTGGCCTGTAAATGAGTTAGGGCGATCCATTTGCATTGTAAAGGACAGCTAAATATCGAAAAGGAAATTAGCATAATCGCTTACATCCAGAACACCCAAACGAGAACTAATTGGGAAAAATTTATTTCTTGGTTTGATACAAGCATCTAAAGTAAAACTTCTTACAGGACAACCTTAACCAAATAAATTAAAAACGAATTTCAGGTATTGAAAAACGTATACAAAGTAAAAATAACGACACTTATATGGATATTGTAATAAACTGCAACCATAACGAGTTCATAATTACTTGCGATGTTAATAATTTTTTTCAACAAACTTTGCTTATCGCAGTGAAATTGGTGTATGAACCAATCAAGGCTTTACCAGGTTAGTATCAACACACTACCAGGCATTAAACAAAACATAATATTATCCAAAACAATGTGCAAGACGGACTCCCGCTAACTTGCGCAATTTCATAGAAGCTATTTCTTCTAACGATGACATGAATCTTGGTCTTAACAGTTATACTAGCACCTGTCTCATGGTCTAAAACTAAATTGTCCGACTGTACCTCCCACTGCTAGGTCCAGATCTACTCTATATACATGACTCCAGTCATGGTTCATTAAGTTGAATTGTCTGGGAATGAATTTTTAATTTATGATGCTGGTGGTACCAAAGATTACAAGCAAGACTTAAATAAAATTAAATAATTAATGTGACTGGCAATCCTGACGATAACCTTGTTTAGACACCCTCACAGCTTGGTGTTTGGAAATTTATTTATATTGGAATTTTGGAAAGTTATTTCCAGAAATTAGTCCAACCGATATCGTCTTCGTCATGTCAGATGAAATCGTTAAGTTAATAAACAATGATCTCATTACAGTGAAGAATAGACCAAATCTAGCAAATGCGATTCTGTACGAAATAAAAACCGGCGGCAGCGGCGATGTATGTGACACCAGTACGAGCATCACCGTCAAGGAGGGACCATTAATGGTCAAGATATTTGGGAACTACGATCGAGTGGATCATTTTTGGTAAGTTTTCTCTTCCCTTCTTTTAATCGAAACCTATTGTTTGATTTCTCAGGGTTGTAGACAGGATCTTTCCAATAAAGTACTTTATTTTATATTGAATACTTCGTATTGACAAGTACAGAGTTGCAGGTCGCACCCAGGTCCGGGTTTGAAGAGAACACGGAATTAATGAGAAGCCTATTTATACAGGTGTTCAGCGCCCCCTCGCGGATGGTACAGGAACTGGATGCTATCCTCGAGCACATGCCGTCGATGCCATCGATATCTTCGATATAAGTCATTATAGTTCCACTATAATGGGGTAGAGGGTGCTGTCCTTAACACTTATATCAACCCATTTACGCGCCAATCTTGAGCTCCGGCTCCTATTAGTAATCCTGTTAGTAAAATAATAATATAATGTTTCAGGTGCCAAAACTATAATGAAGATGGCAAAAACTCTGAAGTACTTTTAAAAAGAGACGACTTTTCTGAATATGAAAATCCAAATGAAGCCATAACTATTATAGTAAGTATGTGGTACTTAACATAAATACTGAAGGGTGACAAGTTAAATGACACAGACATTGAAGCCAATATTAGCGTCACAATTTCGGCATTGGAAAAACAAGCATAAACTTGAGTTGGGCCCTTCTGGTTTTAATTACAAGTTTCTGAGCTCGTATAACATTGGAACTATGCATATGATGAAACGGCGAACTGACAATCCTTGATCTTTTTCTATGTAACATTCTTTTGTCTCGTTTCTCAAATCAATCTACAGGATACTGTAAACGTTGGTGAAAATCACATGCGATGGAATTGTACCCTGCTTACTCGGAAAGGCGGCGCCAAGATACATCCGAATAATTTATATTATTACGAAAAAGCTTACTATTCAAAAATAACATGGACAGGATTTGTTCATATTGTTGGTGAGTTATTATTATGTCTTAGCGACGATTACTTTTATTGAACCGCAGTAAGCGGAGCGAGAGAAGCTTTCTTTGCATCCACTCAAATTGTACATTTTCCGCTCGGAATTACTCGGCCGTTCTTTGGCCGATACGCAAGAATAATTTCGAAATACGCACCAAGCTTTAATTTTCGATTTGTGAGCTCAGATAATTGAGGCCAAAGGTCACAATGTTAAGTCTAAATAAGAAAAACTTCAGCGTTTCAGTAGGGAATCGACATTCCGCCTAGTATACGACAGCTAGCTGAACAATTTTTGCGCATTTTGTTACACTGTACGCTCTAAACAAATTGGCTTAAAGTATAATTTCGCACAAAATATAAAAAAAGTTAATATAAAAGTACAATTCGGAGACAGTCTGGTAAAATTATGACTTAAAATATAAATTCAATTTTCAGGAGCGGAAGAAGAAGAAAACGAGTTCATTTTTAAATTGAAGAACGATGAAGAAGACTTGACATGCTATTATGCGGAATCGACTCAGAATTTAACTATTAAGGAGGGTAAAATCTTAACGGTGAAAGTTTTAGATTCTGCCCGAGATTTAAAATTTTGGTAAGTAATGTTTTTAAGCATGGTGGATTACGGCCTGATACTTTAGAGGGTACAAGAGTTGATAAGGGGTAGATCTTCCGAAGCACCTCTGATTTGATGCGATACTTCCGAGATGGGCTATTAAATCCGATTCGCAAATAGTTAGTAAATTATTTACGTATTTATTTATTTATTTGCAAACTTTACGGCTTTCAAATTTGGTTTACAGTTCTGAACAATCTATTTACGTAGCCAATTACAAAGTTTGTCAGATTACAATTTTTTTTTGCGTTATATAAAAACTAATTCGATGCCAGAACGAAGCGACTTAAAATATTGTTTATCAAAGAACAATGTAACAAATTGAAATACATGTTGATAACATATTATAACTAAATTCCGTTGTATTATTAGATTTAGACATTAATTATTTAATTACTATATTTTTTTAAATAAATTAAAAAATCTGCCGATACTAGCAATGTATTATCCAATGTTTACCTCGGCATTGATAAAGTTTATCAACAGTTACATTCTCTGGATGTTACAAAAGGACCAGGCCCCGACGGACTCCCACCAATTTTATTTTATAGAAACTACAGCCAAGTTTATTGCAACACCACTAACTATAATCTTTAATAAATGCCTGTCTGAAGGTACTTTTCCAATTAGATGGAAGACTGCTAACATAGTTCCTGTCTATAAGAATGGCCCTAAACAAAACATTGAGAACTATAGACTAATATCAATTCTTTACATATTGGCCAAATTATTTGAAAAACTAGTGCATAGTGAGCTGTACCCGGTCTTGAGTTCCCTTATAATACCCGAACAGCACGGTTTCGTTAAGCGTAGATCGACGGTATCTAATTTATTATTATTCACTGGTTTTGTTTTCGAAAATATGGACAACGGCAACCAAATAGACGCCGTATATACAGATTTCCAAAAGGCATTTGACAAAGTTGATCACAAACTATTACTTGATAAGATTGCCTTCAATGGTATTCGAGGGAATCTCCTCCGTTGGTTCTCATCTTACGTTTGTAACAGGTCGCAAAGAGTCATTGTTAATGGATACCATTCAGACCTAATCGATGTGTCATCAGGTGTACCTCAGGGATCCATGTTAGGCCCGCTGCTGTTTATTATATTTATAAATGATATTAAAATCTGTTTTAAGAACACAAATTTTCTTTTATATGCTGATGATCTAAAAATTTATAGAAGCATTTCTAGTGATATTGATTGTACTTTACTTCAGAATGATTTAGATCATTTAACTCATTATTGTAGTATAAATAAACTCAAGCTAAGTATCCCTAAATGTAACAGTATTAGTTTTACGAAAAGGAAGAAAAAAATTAGATATAATTACAAACTTTGCAATAACTCATTATCAGTAGTGGATTCCCTGCGAGACCTGGGAGTAATATTAGATAATAAATTACATCTCGATCTACACATTGACTCCATCGTTGCCAAAGGGTTTCGAATGTATAAATTCGTCATGAGAACTGCTACCGACTTCTCTCGTCTATCAATTATCTTTACTTATACATTAGTCTAATTCGACCTCAAGTGGAATATGTGTGCTCAATTTGGAACCCTTACTATAAAAAATACTCAGAACAAATTGAAAAAATTCAA